AGAACCAGAATTCTAAATTACTAAAATAGTATTGCAAATAGTGTGCAAGTCCAGGTGAAATACTGTTTATTCTCTGTATGCATGGTTTCTGCATTCATGGATTAAATCATTTATGGTCTGAATATATATATATATATATATATATATATATATATATATATATGTGTGTGTGTGTGTGTGTGTGTGTGTGTGTGTGTGTCCAAAAAGTAAACCTTAATTTGGCCATTTTATATAAAGAACACAATTTTACTACGCTATTGTATATACCATGTATACTCGAGTATAAGCCGGCCCAAATATAAGCCGAGGCATCTAACTTTACCACAAAAAACTGGGAAAACATAGTGATTTGAGTATAAGGTGAGAGTGGGAAATGCAGCAGCAACTGGTAAATTTCAAAATAAGAATAGATAGCAATAAAATTACATTAATTGAGGCGTTGGTAGGTTAAATGTTTCTGAATATTTAGATACAACTGCCCAACTCTGATTAAACCTTCTTCAGTGTAAGAAGGTGCTTATGTATCCTTCCAATAATAATAAAGAGAATAAAAAAATAAAGAGAATAATAATAGAGTAAAATAATGGAAATGTAATAATAATAGAGTAAAATTATAAATGTAATACATAATAAAGTAAAATAAATGCAATAATAATAATAATAATAATAATAATAATAGAGTAAAATCATAAATTGGGTAAAATAATAAATGTAATAATAATGATAATGATAATAACAATAATAGAGTAAAATAATAAATAACCTTGACTCAAGTATAAGCCGAGAGGGACGTTTTCAGGCTAAACAAAGACTGAAAAACTAGGTGTATACTCGAGTATATATAGTAATGACACTTCAGCAACCACAGATTTTGGCATTCATGACAAATTCTGGAACCAAACCTCAGCAGATATTAAATGCCTGCTGTACAGGCAAGTCATAATTTGTGATGTACCTATTTACAGCATTAGAGGTGTAATGTTTCTCTATTAAAGGAAAGTCTCACCAGAATGTTTCTCCCTGGTTCCCAGTGGTTCTCTATGGAAGTGGCTCCCCACATTTACATTGATTGCAATTTATATCCTGAGTTCAGAAATGCAGCCTTAATGTAAACTGAGCCTAGCCTGTACATGAGATGCCTGTGCATTTAGGTGACTGTGGGGATTTCACCTTGGAAAGTGAAATGGTCCTTATCCAGCTTTACTTGGGAATGCCCCCTTTATTCCAAGGAAATCATGAAGCATCCCCAGAAATTCAACCTTTACCCTTTACTATTGCTTCCAACAGCAAACTTGTGAGGGAAAATACTGTGATAGACAATTTGAAATTGAAGAACTCTGGACAAGAAAAAATAAATTCAACCCATAAGTCTGTACTTTACAGGTGCCACATGAATCCTGTTTAAAAGAACAGTTGGTTGGCTACAATTATTACTACAACACTACTGCATATCTTGTGCCACTGTCTGGAAGTGCTTCTCAACCTGGGGGTCAGGACCCCGGGGGGGGGGGGGGGTGTCACGAGGGGGTGTCAGAGGGGTCACCAAAGACCATCAGAAAACATATTTTCTGTTGCTCATGGGGGTTCTGTGTGGGAAGTTTGGTGGGGTTCGGAATGCTCTTTGATTGTAGGTGAACTATCAATCCCAACAACTACAACTCCCAAATGTCAAGGTCTATTTCCCCCAAACCCCACCAGTGTTCATATTGAGGATTTGTGCCAAGTTTGGTCCACATCTATCATTGTTTGAATCTACAGTGCTCTCTGGGTGTAGGTGAACTAAAACTCCAAAACTCAAGGTCAATGCCCACCAAACCCTTCCAGTATGTTCTGTTGGTCATGGAACTTCTGTGCTCCGGGATTGGTTTAATTCTATCATTGGTGGAGTTCGGAATGCTCTTTGATTGTATGTCAACTATAAATCCCAGTAACTACAACTTCCAAATGACAAAATCAATCCCCCACTCAACCCCACCAGTATTCAAATTTGGGTATAACGGGTATTTGTGCCAAATTTGGTCCAGTGAATGAAAATCCATTCTGCATACAATTTATACCAGTAGCAAAATTACAGTTCTGAAGTAGCAACAAAAAATGTTATGACTGGGGGTCACCAAAGCATGAGGAACTGTGTTAAGGGGTTGTGGCATTCTGAAGGTTGAAAACCACTGGTCTGGAGCAACCCTCAATCTCCACATATCATGCATTTACTCTGACTCTGCTTTCTGCCAATGATAGAAGGCAAAAAAGGCAAGTTAACTTTTTAAAAACTTGTTTTTTCAATTTGCCAGTTGATGTATAAGAGGTGCATTGCTCTGAAACACCTGCAGGAGCAATGCATTATTTCACCATGCCAATTGAGGCCCAGAATAGGCTTTTTTAAGGTCCAAAAATATATTAATAGACACAAAAACATGGTGAAAATGCGAGAGTTTATAAGGCATTTGGTCATAAATAATTTTGTGGAATGGCCATTGGGTCATTGCATGGAACTTATGGACTGCACTTTGACAATTGCAGTTCTGGTACAACATGTATGTAATATGTCCCATCTCTCAAATTTCTGCTTTTTTGTTTGCCATTCTACTTATCTGCACAACATCCCACCCAAGTACCCTCCACACAGCCATATAACCCAGAATACCAAGGAAAATCCTACAATATCTGCTTTGAATTGAATTATTTGAGTCCACACTGCCATATATTCTACTTCAAAGCAGATAATGTGGGATAGTATTCAGCTGTGTGGAAGGGGCCCAAGAAGACTCCCATGGATAGCCCCTTGTGTGACCCTTCGTTCTCCCTATTCCATTGCTCAGACTGAGTTAAAACACATCCAGTAACAAAAAACAGAAATCCTATTACTGAATCACAGCCCCAGGTGTGACAGGCAAATGGTAAAATTCCAGCTTGATGCTCAAACAATAATCCACTACCAAAATCACACATTACAAGTGATATTACTTACAAAGTGCCACTATACATGACGGAAGCTTGGAAGAGAAATGAAGAAGAGACTGGTTCATATTTTATAATGCATGGGATCAAGTAGGAAGGTGCTTTTTCAATGTTGCTCCTTGGTGAAATAAATAGGGAAAACTGCTTCAAAATTGGGTGTCAAAAAGCACAAACACTGAGTACCACCTTCATTCTTCCAATTAGTATTATGCATATTTAGAGACCAGGTTTGATTGACCTTTCCTTCCTACCATTTGATATGCCATGTCTGATTAAAAATGCTGAGGTGAGAGGGAAACTGTCTTCAATCCTTTCATTTCTTTGTTGTACAGGGAGGGATTTTTAAAATGTTTTTCCAATATCTTGCTCAAACAAGAGTGCTATTTACATGTAGGCCCATTTATCCTCCTTTGAATTTCATTTGGACACCCATAAGTTGCTTAGCGTCATTTGGAACTCCATCTCCTTTTATACTCCACTTCTTTATAAATTATACATCTGTGTACCTTGTTTATGATCAGCAGCCATCTTACACATCCTGCACAGAGCTGCATGGAAAATCTGGCAGAAATAGGTGCTATTTCTTGGTAGCTTTGAAAAAAAATGCTTTGCTTTAGGACAAGAAGTGCACATGTGACATCTCTGTTCATTAGCACAGAACAGGGATGCCTAGAAAAAATAAAATCCTGTCCTGAAATGTGAAAATATCAAATACAGTCCTGAAGTTCTGGATGTATGTTCAGGTTTTGTATGGAAATTGTATTAAGACGTTTCCCCCTGTTTTTAATTCCAGTCGTTGTTGATAGTATCACATACAGTAGAGTCTCGCTTATCCGACCTTCTCTTATCCGACATTCCATCTTATCCAACACCTCCCTTGTTCCTCCAGGATTTCTCCTTTAATTAAAGGAGTGCTCCCCAACTCTCTCTCCATTCCCAATAAGTGAAAAAGGCAAGACAAGGAGGAGGGAGGAAAGGAGGAAAAATGCAGGACTGGAAGCGGAAGCATCCTCCCTCCTTTCCCCTGCAATTTCCATGCTCCTCTTCCACATCCGGGCACTTCCTGCTGGGTCACTTTAGCCCCGAGACATTGTCTTGCCTTAACCCTTTGAGTCCCCGTTGTTAGTATTCTAGGTGTCTAGCGCCACATCGGACGGATAACAGTAGGAGACTGTATTATCCGACATTTTAGTTTATCCGGCGTTCTGCTGGCCCATTAATGTTGGATAAGCGAGACTCTACTGCAATTGATTCTTATACCATAGGTTTAGAGTGGGTGATGAACATAACGTTATGACTGTTCTGTTTTATCTTAATGAATAGTAACTGCTAGTAAACACATTACTGTAATGTGGGTTTTACTACTGTTGATTCAGGGCAGTGGGGAGGTTCCAAAAATTCCTATTTTGTTTTTGTGTCTGTCATAATCTTGTGTAATTTCAATTCATGTCATTGGGTTTAAGCAAGTTACCAATAGACTGTGTTCACTTATTTTGTTTATGTTTATTTTTACCCCACCTTTTCTTTCCACAAGGAGACTCAAAGTGGCTTACATTAAAAGCATTTCAATACAATTTAAAATCTCCAAATATACAAACATTTAAACAGAATTAAATATCATTAGTATTTTAAATTTTTCAGTTAAAATCCATAAAAACATGGTTGTGCCCATCATCTTTACCCAATGATATTGCTGTTTACCCTGTGACAGTGCCCATATTGTTAATCTATGAATAGTGAAGGCAAAAAAGGACTCCGACTATATCCTTACTCATACCATTTAATAAACCAAGGTTATATATCCTTTTCCCCTGGTCTTGGAGGCAAAGTCACTAAAGTCATGGGCTTTAGGTAGGATGTATGGAAGTATATCTTTTCTGAATTAAGGGGCTTTTAAATCAGGCCCTTCAAAGGGGAGGTGGGGTGGAGTCTTTGGTAGCCCACCATGTCACAAATCTTTCTTTTTTAAAAAAAAATCAATGACAATATAAATTGGTATATCTTCAGCAGCTGCTTCTTCTGTTGTTGTGAATTCTTTTCAGCTTGTGCAGCCTGAGGATGTGGGCAGGATTCTTGGAAGTGTGAGGCCGGCGATCTGTGCACTTGATCCTTACTCATCTTGGCTAGTTAAGGAGGAGGACAGAGGAGGACAGGCTGAGTGGATGGAGCAGGTGATTAATGCTTCCCTGAGAGACAGAGCTGTGCCACCTATTTCAAAGTCACAGTGATTAGTCCACACTAGATTCTACTATCCTTGGTAATTATTGTTCATTGCCCAGTATTCTTGGATGAGTTGCTTTGCTGCAATCCTAGAATTCCCTGGATAAGGCATGTCAGACAGATTTCAATCTGGCTTTCATCTCATGAAATGGCCTTGTTCATGCTGTTGGATGATCTGCATTGGGAGCTGGACAGATGGAGAGCTTCTCTATTACTTCTGCATTGCTTCTGCTGGACCTTTTCAACTGCTTTTTGATACCATCAACCATGATTTCTTCCTGGATTGTTTCGCTAAGTTTGGAGAGACCATATTCCAGTGACAGTAGTCTTTGCTGTTGAAGAACGTCCAGAAGGAGAACAACTGACCATTGCTTTGTGTCTGAAAGGGTTCTATTTTGTCTTATTTAATATTTACATAAACTACTGGGAGAAACTGTACAGACTATCAGAAATATACAAATGTCACTCAACTCTACATCTCCTCCCCATCTCAGTCCAGGTTATGAATCACTTTTTAGAGGTCAGTGATGGATTGGATGTAAAAGGACAATATTAATTTGATCCTAGCAAGATAGAGCAGCTCTTAGTTAAAAAGATATCTACACAGGATGTCTTATTTTGAATGGGTTGCACTCCCCTCAGTGCTCCTAGATCTGGCGTTACACCAGGATAGCCACACGTTGGCTTCTCCCCAGAGTTCTTTTTCCTAGCATAGGTTGATGTGCCTGCCTACTGTGTCAATTTCTGTGAAGAGCAGACCTGGTCACATGCCTGCATGGCTTAGACTGAAACTAGATTGCTATAATGTTGTGTGTGGACTGAAAATTTCATCTAGTAAAGTGTTGCTCTAAGAACCTTGACTGAAGCCAGATTTTTGAAACATGTTACTCCCTTGTTTTATCAGTCACATTGGCTACGAGTTTGTTTCAGTTTCAAGTGCTGGCAATCCATTTTAAAGTTTTTAGAGTGTTATGAGTAGAATAGCTAATGGAGCCCCATGAACTCTCTCACACACATACATACACCTACTAGTCTGTTAAGGTAATCTGATAGGTCCTTCTGTTCTGGCCTCTGCAATATTATTGGGATACACAAGAGAGCCTTACCTGTTGGTGGCACTCAGATTTTGGAACCCCCTACTCCAAAAAAATTTTTTTGTCTGTTTTCCAGGGCCAGCTGAAGTTTGGGAGATATTTTCAGCGTGTTTTTAATGTTTTATTGATGCTTTTTATGTCTCTTTATTTTTCACAGAAATCTTTTAATCCACAACTATTAATTATTGCTTCTATTTTATTGACGTTATTGCTTTTTGGATCATTAATTCATTTTCTATTTGTGCATACCAACAAAGAAAGTGGAAATGCAAGGATTTATTAGGGCACTGTCCTCCAACTTGATGATCTCTTGATTTGTTAAACTACAACTGCCATAATTCTCATCCATCACTGCCATTCACCACATGTGATTGTTGTGAAAATTGTAGTCCAACACATCTGGAGGTCACCAGTTTGAGGGACATTATATTAAAGGTTTTCAGTCCTAATATCCTGCTTTTAAAATCCATGATATATGTATTTCAGAGCAAAGTGTGCAATCTGTGTTTCTGTTAACCCTCTGGATGTATTCAGACATAATTACAAATGAAGGTTTGGTGGCATTATGTTATTGTACTTAGAGATGCCTTGAGGCGTGCACATTTCTCTCCCTGCCACCTGCTCTTCCTTCCCCTGCAGTGATTTCATGCCTCTTAGTCCTAATTTGTAGTTCTGTAAAAACTACCAATCTGACTGGAGTGAGCAGCAGGGTTGGGAAGCAAGGAATTGTTACACAGTAGTGTAACTTTCTCCAAAGCTCTTTGAACCACCAATCACGATTTGGCATTGTGTGCTAATTCTATCTAGGATAGAAGATAATTCTATCTAGGGTAGAATTATCTTCTATCTTCTTGTGCAAAAGCAGCTATAGTTAATAAAATAATGTGTTTTTGGGAGTTGCTTCCAGGTAAGTGTGTGCAGGATTGCAGCCTAGTTTGGCACAATGTATACAGCTTGGCCTTGGCACAACCAAAAGACTACAGAGTTAGAGTTTAAATAATAAAGGAATAGCTCTCCTCCCTCTAGTTATTTGGTCCAGTTTCACGCATCATCTTATGTTACATGGAACTGGAAGCTTTCCTTCCCAGCACTGCATATAAAGTGGCAGGAATCCTTGCATACTTATAAAGCAAAACACCTTAATGTAGGCCTGATGTAAATATATGCAAATTCTGGGTTGCTGTGAGCAATGAGCAGAAGTAAGTTTGGTGTTGGCGGTATTGGGTGTGTATGTACTGCATATAGCATGGCTGAAATCCCAATATTTCAGTCTCAGATAAATCCAAATGTTCCAACATTTCAAAGATGAAAATTGGGATATAAATGTCCAAGTAACATTAGACTGTGATCAAAATGGCAAACCTTTTTAAATGAGGACAAACACATGAGCTAGGAGAGGTTACAGTAGTTTGCTTTTGCCTGATCCTATTACAAAGGGCAAAATTCAATTCCATCTTTCTCTCCCCACTGGTGAGTTAACTGCACGCAAAATACTTTTGCATTCTGGACTTGGCAGCAACTGAAATCAGATGAGGACAAAGGAGCAAAATGAGAGGAGGGGAAAGAAACTGGAACATCTTAAAAGCATATAGTTCAAGAGATATATAATTGGGACTGCCCCTGCTATATTGACATACTTAGAGGATATGAAAATCTAGGTATATATGAATATAGAAGAATGAGAGTGTAGAATTATCTTGGCATCAATTCTAGTGTAAGACAGCACTCTTGAATATAACCTTTAGATTCCTACAAACAAGAATATCATCATGGGGGAGAGCTTCTAGTTCAAATAGTTTCCTGGTGTTCTCTTGGCAGATAAGGTTGGTAATAGTGATAATGATGATTTTGTACATGAAGATGGATATTAAACCAAAAGATACATATAAAGTTCTACTAGTAGACTGTGCCTGAGGGCTCTTTTACATCACACAGTTTGAATGCTATGGCTTCACTTTAACTGCTATGGCCTCATTGAATTATGGGATCTACAGTTTAGGGAAAGGTACTGAGAATTCTCCGTTGGAGTCCTGTCATACTTCACTAAACTACAAACATAGTCTGTTGCCATGGCAGTTAAAGTGGAACCATAGGATTATAATTGTCTCATTGTACTACTGCTGAACCTCATGTTGAGCCTAATAAGTTGCAATGGTTTGTTTCATTTAAAGTTTTTGCAGAAGAAGGATTTCTTTTGGCCAGATACATTTTTTTTCATGTAGCATTATCACATAAGAAGCACCATCCTGCCAAAATGCTTCCTTCCACACAGATATTAGATATAGAAACCATGTTAGTTTTGCCAGGTTCTTTTTTTTCTGCATAGATGCATGCTTACAACTGTGCATGGGGAGATGTGTATGTTTTCCAGGGCTATAGATACAATATAATAACATATGTAGGGCTCTTATTTCGTATTTCGAAAAACGAAATAAAAATGTAGGGCTCTGCCTCAGGATGATAAAATAAAGTTTACTAATTGTGAAAATTAAGGCTGGGAGAGAAGGGAACGTAGAAAAGAGGGGTGGGCATTGAATTTAAGAAAGTAAAATCTCATTTTCTGTTATGCTCCTTCCGAGTAAAGGGTTATCTAAAATCAAATAAAATGAAATGAGAAAATTAAGAGGCAGCAAAAGAAAGGGAAAAAAATGCTAAATAATCTTTTCCCAAGCTGATTTTTCTAGTAACAACATTTTGCTTGTGGAATTAACTATGTATCTCCAAATATAACTCAATGAACCAGCCTAATTTTTTAAATCCATGTTGACTTTGGGAATTTCACCTAACAAGAGCCAGGGGTGTAACTATGGGTGCAAACTGAGATAATGCCGCCTCCCAAAATGAAATTTTCATGCAGTTTCCAAACTTTCCAGCCTTACAGGGACTGAGAAATCTTTCTCATTCCCTTGGCAATGTTGTTTGCCCCTTTTCTTAGGACACCTGAATTGTACTTGTAAATGTTCACCTGAAGTTTGAAGTTACTGCCAGGTGTCAACATATGTTTCGACACTATGTGATCATTGGAAATAAAGCGGGGGGGGGGGGGGGGGGGGGGGGGGGGGGAAGGGGAGAGATCAGAAATCAGGAAGGACAGCTCTTTCTGCTGTTGCTTGGCAAAACTATTACCGTATATTCCAGCATATAAGATGACTGGGGGTATAAGACGACTCCCAACTTTTCCAGTTAAAATATAGAGTTAAGACGACAGCCATGCATAAGACTACACCCGCATATAAGACGACCCCTGACTTTTGAGAAGATTTTCTTGGGTTTAAAAGTAGTCTTATACGCCAGAATATACTGTATTTCTTTTTTTATATATGGATTTGGAGATCAGAAAGCTTGCATGTATGACTTCCATGGCTAGAGGAAATGGGAATGGCCAGAATATGGGGGTGCCAAGAGTTTTTAAGGAACATGACCATTGCACAGTTCTCTGCATCTTAAGTTGTGCCTTGTGCCAGCCTTTAAGATGTTCCTATACTGACAAAAATGGATAGAACACAAGCATTTGTGGGTGTGTGGAAAGGGGTGCAAAACCAAACCAAACAAAATAAAAAACACCAGACTTGAGGCCCCATCTGGTCCTGGTTTTTCCACCCTGCATTGAAACATTTCTATCTCCCCCCACCTTCAGCCAGAAAATATCTTAGAGTAGTTTACATTAGGCCTGGGTAACAACGGAAAAATTTGTTTCTAAAATCGATTTGTATTTGGGGGGTTTTTTTGTTTCGATATTTAAAATAATTACAAAATTTTCCTTTTAAAAAGTTCGATATTTACGAAATTTCGTAAATGGTAAAAAAATTAATGAATCGATTTCCGAAACAATAACGAATCGATTCGTTAATGGCGGACGCGACCGCGAAATACGCTAAAAAACCTCCAAAACCTTCTGAAGCTTCCCTCTCCCTCTGTTGTTGCCTGTTGGTGTGATATTATAATTTTTTTTCACTAATTAAACCATAAAACTGGCCCAGACATGCGGAAATAATAACGAAACGACCTCAAAACAATAACGAAACGAATACAATATCGAAATACGAAGCATTTACAAAACGTATTTAAAAATTCGTTTTTTTAAAAAATTGCTCCAGAATGGTTTGTTATCGTTTTGTAATTTAAAAAATTAATGAATTAGTAACGAATTACGAATTAACGAAACGAAACCGCCCAGCCCTAGTTTACATATCAGCCTAAACACCTTGTTAGTCACTTTTAGAAAGCTTTGGTTTTTTTCCATTGCCACCATCTCCCCAAAACTGTGTTACATCCAAAACTAGTTTTTAAAAAACCAATCAAATTAAATCTTATAAGCTTGAAAGTCTAACTATCCTACTGTGCCCATGGAAGCACATAATGCAATTTTGGGGTAGGGCTGAAATATCAGCTCTACTGTATCTGCCAAGTGAGATATGGGTCTGGGATGAGCCCCGAAACTGAACAGGAAGGCAAACAGACAGCAAACAGTATATTTGGTAGGGCTGGGCGGTTATTTCCGCATGACTGGGCCAGTTTTATGGTTTAATTAGTGAAAAAAAATTATAATATCACACCAACAGTCAACAACAGAGGGAGAGGGAAGCTTCAGAAGGTTTTGGAGGTTTTTTAGCGTATTTCGCGGTCGCGTCCGCCGTTAACGAATCGATTCGTTATTGTTTCGGAAATCAATTCGTTAATTTTTTACCATTTACGAAATTTCATAAATATCGAACTTTTTAAAAGGAAAATTTTGTAATTATTTTAAATATCGAAACAAAAAAACCCCCCAAATACAAATCGATTTTAGAAACAAATTTTTCCGTTGTTACCCAGGCCTAATATTTGGCCCAAGGATCCAACAGAACTCAGCACTACTTTCATACCAGTCTACTAACAGCACTGGTTAAGACAGATAAAGTTTATCTGAAGCCTCAAGGGCCTATGTGACCAGGACAGCATGTAGTCAGAACTTGTTTGTTGTTTAAGAGGATATTCTCAGTGCCTGGCACTGGATGTAACTATATTGTCTAGTTATTAGCACTGGACATGTAGAAGTATCTGAGATCTATGTGACCAGAACAGCATATAGTCGGAGCTTGTTTGTTGTTTAAGAGGATATTCTCAATGTCTGGCACTGGATATAACCATATTGTTGTTGGCCCTGGACCTGTAGAGTTACCTGAGATCTATGTGACCAGGACAGCATGTAGTCAGAGCTTGTTTGTTGTTTAAGAGAATGTTCTCAGTGTCTGGCACTGTATGTAACCATAACATCTGGTTTTTGGCCCTGGATATGTAATAAAGCCATTACAGAATTTTTAGCATAGCACATATGGCAGAGCTCAACAAACATGGGGAGACATCAGCTATTGTCAAAATGCAGTTGATCAGAGTCACTGAAATAGATTATCATACAGTTGAATCTTTAATTTTTGATTTATGCAAAGATGATTTTGCCAACAGTTCTTTGGATACATTTACCTGGAAGCAAATCTAATTGAACATAGTTACTTTAACTCATGAGTCAACATGTGTAGGATTGCATTGTTAGTTTTCAAGCTACTGCTAAACTCTTTCTTGTTTTCATTAACACTTGGTTTTTTGTGACACAGATTTTCTTTGTTTTGTTTTTTAAAAATGTCAAATGTGTGCTTCTTGACTAAAAATAAATGCAAGTAAGCGTCACACACATTTACTAGGTGGGTGAAAGGCAGGTGATATCCGTTGGTGGAACATTTCCTCTGATTGCTAGTGGTTCACTCAAGAGCTGTTTTAAAATCTAAATCAGGACCTTTGATTGCGAAAAAGCACAGTTTCTAAGCTAAAGACCTTTTTTAAGCACCAGAAGATGCTGTAATACAGCTATGTTAACTAAGGTTGCAATCCTACAAATACTTGTCTGGGAGCAAGCTCCACTGAACTCAACAGTACTTACTTCTGAGTAGATGGGTACTTGCACTATAAGAGTACAACTGATATATAAAGGAGTAGCAGAATTAAAACAGATTAATAAAGAAAAAGAAATCTTTCAATACAATGGAAAGAAAGCTTAACTTGTTTTCTTGCTTTTTTTTATAGAGAACACCTGTTCCCAGCGCCGAAGCATTCCGATGGTTCTTTTAAGCAGTAGTATATCTTATTTTCAAGGCAGCCTGAAGTCTTGTTTTAAGAAACTGCTTAGTCCACCACTGGAGAATATATTCAGATCCTATTTTCATTTATGTATAGGGGTTTCCTCAAAAAAAAAGAAATAAAACCCAAACAGACAACAAATTATGAAGTAGAGTGGTCTCCAGGTAAGATGGGGGAAAGGAGCTTTGGAAGCTTTGGAGAACAGAATCTGAGATACAACAAAACATTCCCTCTCCTGCAGAAATGCCTGAACATAAGATAGTACTGTTTTACCTCCTTTTTCCATCATGTTTACTGTCTTCACTTTTATATGAATGCTGTGTCCCCTCCATGCATTACAGTTCTTGTTTTCTTATGTTTTCATGCTGTTCAGACAACCCTCTTGCAGTCATTTCTTGCACTTCCTCTCTCAAATGACTCAACTGCATTATTTGCATTTGGCTCCAGTGTTAACTGTTGCCCATTGCTTTCCTCTCTAAAGGCCCTCTTAATAAGAAAACACTCCACAGGAGAGAACATTCACCAGCTTTGTGAGGGCCACTCTCTTATCAGGAGACCACCATATCTGGGACCCTGGGAAATTGGCCAATTAACTCACATTCAGTAAAACACAAATCTTTTTTGATGTAATTTAGCTATACTAGTGAAGTTGTTGTCTATTTTTAAAGTGGCTGTAAAAAAGTTTGGGTAAACCCCTGCTATAAAATAATGTATCTTTACAAAGTACCATATCTATACTTCATTTGCCAATATATGTGTTTCAGTACTGTAAACTGTACAGATAGCAGCTTGTATTTTATGTGTTTAGACACAAAGAGACAATCACGTCTGAGCATCTATGGAGATTAACTGTTTGTACACAACCATGCGATTCTGCAAATTCAATCCGGAGCAATAAATCCAAGCTTTAAGTATTATTTTTGCCAGTTGTCCAGTAACAGCAGTAGCAGAGGGAGCACTATTGTTGTTGGGTTGTGTTTTCTTAAAAACCATGTGCTCCTCCATGATTCCTAATGCAAAATTGGACAGGAGTAAAGATAATGATGAATCCACCAGTATCTTCAGACCATACTGTTGTACAGAAGGAAAGACACATGATGTAAGAATTAATCTTCATGAGCACTATATTACAGCAGAGATGCTCCACTTGCATTGCTTCTGAAAGAGCTTTACTGTAACATCTACTTGTCAGTTAACTGGTTTTGTATTCCACCACGACATTGAGTTTACATTATCAATTGATATCCAAGGGCTCACTTCAGCAGCACATATACTAAAATAGGAATGAATTGATATCCAAAATTAATGTTATTCAGAGTCATTTCCAAATTATTTTACAATATCAAGTAAAAAGAGGCAGTGTCTTAGAAGGAACAGGAATCTGTCACTTCATATATTTACCTTCCTGTGATAAGTTGCTTTATTGGGAGAGTGAGAATGCTTTATACCAGTGGTTCACAACCTGTGGGTTTCCAGGTGTTTTGGCCTACAACTCCCACAAATCCCAGCGAGTTTACCAGCTGTTAGGATTTCTGGGAGTTGAAGGCCAAAACATCTGAGGACCCACAGGTTGAGAACCACTAGAGTATCTCAAAACTATTTTTGCTCCATGTGTACCTTTAATTCTTAGACTATTTTGCGGATTTCAACAGAATTTCATATTCTTTGCAATCTTCTCTCCCACATCAGAAGATTCTGATCTCTTGTAAGATTTTTACAAATGTTAGCACTTTTAATAAAAGAATGAATAATGGAAAATGAGTTATTGGTCCTCTACATTTGCAGGTTTAACTTCTGTAAATCTGTTTATTGGCAGATTTGATTAATATGTTCTTCTGTAGACATCTCAGGGGCCTTTGGGACAATTCTATGATCAACTTCTGCTCAAAATTGACCACTGAGTCATGTTGGAAGATATAGAGCAGTGGTTTTCAACCTGTGGGTCCCCAAGTGTTTTGGCCTACAACTCCCAGAAACCCCATCCAGTTTACTAGCTGTTAGGAATTCAGGGAGTTGAAGGCCAACACATCTGCATACCCACAGGTTGAGAACCACTTATCTAGAGATTCCTAGAAAGAAGATGTCTCTAGAATTCTACATCCTGCAGAGTGATCCTATAGGCAACTTCCCATGGAAGTTGACCACATAGTGGCTGTGAAAGACTTGAGATACTGTTTCAGATTTCTAAGGTGGTTTTTAATTTATAGTTTTCCCACTTTCATTAGGTCCTGCATCCCTAACACTCACAAAAGTGAAGGGTCTACTGTATTATGATTTGCTCTGCTTAGTTTCCTTATACTGGTCCCATTAGCAATAGGTGGAATTCTCCAATCCATTCACTTTCCTGCTCAGGCTGTGCTTAAAACCAACCAGAAACAAAACAAGGGTAGGATAGTGCATTTCAAACCATATCAAGGTAACATATCTGTAGCCATCTTGTTAGAAAACAGAACTTTGTGTACTTCAAAGAAAACAAAATAAAATAGATGAAGAGAAATATGGGGTAGGGAAGGTGTTTAGGAATGTGCACAGCCCCAATTGTACTAAAGACAGCATAGATGTAGAGCGTGAGAGCCATCTTAGCATCCTGCAAACTTCAGCCGAATCATCATGCTTGCATATTGTAATTAAAAAATAGCTTTCCTTGGTGCAAAAAGTGTGTGGGTGTCCACTGAAAACATGCTGGCAGTTTGTAAAACTTTGTAAGCCAGAGGCTGGTTGTACAGGCTTCTAGTGCTTCTCATATGGATGGATATTCTAATTTTTATATTTGGTAAATCTTATACTCCAGTATACATTCCCATAACCAAAGATGCATATTTGAGATCCCATAATATTGATGGATGACTTATATTTTGGCTTGATATCCTCACAATTGTTCTGTTGTGCTAAAAAGAGTTAGTTTTATGCTTTTGTGATTCATGTTTAGAGATGAAGATTCCCACCTACATTTCTTGCTACATGCAGAATTTGTGTGTGAGACAGATATTCCTGGTTCATTTATTTGAAGTACCAATATTTATGCTATTTGGCATATATTAATTCCTGAAGTTGGCATTTCATAAAATTCTTTCCTTTCCTGTCATCTCCTCTACCCAAATTTCAAAACAACCAAAGCATACTGGCCATTTCACTGTAGGAACACAGGCATTCAAATATATATGAAATCGACTGTTTCACATCGTCTATTCCTATAGCAGAAGACATTGCCACAAAAATGGGAATTTCATGTGCAGAATTCTAATGCCCAGGCAGGCACAATAATAGGAAAAGTAGTCAGAGCATTTTCTTCAGAATGTTATCTCAATTTGTTTTGTTTCCTTTCTTTTCATTCTATCAGTGAGAAAATTCATAAGCCTGAAGAGTATTCGGTGTTTTGGACAGTAGCAAAGTGTTATGATTTAAGATAAGGAGAAAAAGGCCATCACTATGAATCATTTCCTTTCTCTAACCTGTTTCCGACTGCCATTAAAAGAAAGGGTTTTGTTACTGGCTTTTAATTGTTGGTTTCTATCAATTTTATGACAACATAAGCTCTTCAAGTAACATTTGCAAGGTAACAAAAACAAAGTAAATTAGTTCTTGCACACCTCTCAGCAAAGATATGATAGATAATTCAAAGAAAATGAAACCTACTTGCCGTATTGCTCATGTATAACTTGACTTCATGTATAAGTTGAGGACATGTTTGGGGGCCAAAATTATGAATTTTTATTTGACCCATGGATAACTTGTGTGGGTCATTCCAAGGAGAGAAGAAAGCACAAATGCCACCTCAGGGGGCCCAACATTCCTGGCCACTACCATTTCTCCATCCAGATACTCAAAAAGCCCAGAAGCGGCATCACAGTGGAGAAAGCAGAGGGGGAAGTTGAGGGTTCTTTTAGATCAGATGGACTAAGTTTCTGCCTTTTCACCATTGTATTCAGAAAAGGGGATGGTTTCTTTTTTGATAAGGGTTAAGATACAGTATACTCATTAATTCAAGGAAGTCAGCCCAAGTTTTTTGAGTTGGTTTTTGGACTAGACTTATATATGAGGATGCAGGGCATGTCTCATATATATCAAGAGAATGTTAAAGTGATGAAAACAGCAATCCAAAGGATAAGGACACCATAGATGACGCATACCCCCATTGGGTTATTACCAGCAGAGCAGAAGAATAGGTAGAACTAATTTCAATTCTTTCCTGGATTTTATTTTTTAAGCAACCCCAGTAAAGCTGGAAAGGAGTTAAGACAGAGTGTAAAGAGAGATTAAAACACAAAGTTTTGCTTATTTTATTTTTGCATCAAATTGCAAAAGTATTCTCCCTTTTGGACCAGATTACAAGACATTTTCTGCATGTGGAATTATTTCATCATGTGTGTGAAATATTAATTTGTGCCAAAAAGTAGAAATTAGTGAGTGGTTTTTCCTCTAGAAAAGTGTTTTGGTTAAAAAATAAACAAACCAAAAAAGCCCTCTTTTTGTGTAGCCAAACTGGATTTTGGAGGTTTTTTACACATTTTTCTCACAATAGGGGTTTTGTCCAAACTTTTAAAAAAGCCCAAAAACATTTTCTCAACATGCTTTTCCTATCAGCATGGGAATAAGTATATTTATTAACATATCTAGCCTGCCATCCCGATATGCTATGGTCCTAGGGATATATTCTTTGGACTATAGCAGTGGTTCTCAACCAGTGGGTCCTTGGGTGTTTTGGCCTACAACTTCCAGAAACCCAAGCCAGTTTCCCAACTGTTAGGATTTCTGGGAGTTGAAGGCCAAAACATCTGGAGACCCTCAGGTTGAGAACCACTGAACTATAGCATTGCAGTTTAAGGTTGCTTTTAAAAGACGTTGATTTCTATGAGATTTGTGGTCCTAACTTTATGAGGACTGAGATTGGGCCATTCTAGATTAACTGATCAGTTTTGTAAATATTTGGGACATTCTCTGTGTATTTCTAATGGAAATCCTGCAGGGAAAATCTACAGTCTCTTTATGAAGAGATGAAAGGTAGTAACAATTTAAAGCAAGGTCTTATGAAAAGTGAATGAATGCTCCCAAGTCCTGATTGCAGATTTCTACCTCTCACATGAGCTGCACTTTGAATTATTTTCCATATGTACAGTATGTGCACCAATATGCAAATAGCTGTGTCAAGAACCATGAAACAAGCAGGCAAGAGATAATTAACTATCTTGATCTCTTTGAGCTGGAAAAGTTTGGAGGAACCTGTGAAAGCAGAAATAGTACCAAATTTTAATGACAATAGGCTGATGATCTTTTCAGCTGATACATAGTCCTGACCTACATGCACATCCATAGCTGTAGGAAGTAAAACAACATTTCTGTATTGTTTCATTCATGGTTCTTTGAGACAGGTTCAAAGGTAAACACTGTGGCCAAAATTCAGTTATTAATTCCAACAAGAATAAGTCCATCAAATCAATAGGAACTTGATAAATCAACCCATATGTCAATTCACAGGCACTGAAAATTAGTTTCAATCTGGAAACTCCTATCACCATAAACTTTGAAGCTCTGCTATCCCACTTTAAATGTTATGGCTGCTTTCTGTGTAATTCTGGGGGTTGTAGCTTAGTGAATTCCAGAACTGAGAATGTTCAAGGTCCTTTTGTAAACTACAAATGCCAGGATTCCAGAGGAGAATTTTAAGTGGAATAGCAAAGAGTTGCTATGTGATAATCTTCCTAATTTAGAATCTGGATCCGTGAGCTGAAGCCCTACATCAAGCAGGTCGTGTATACAGCAATTCCATGTCTACCTCCACCTATGCCCTTTTACTGCACAAAAGCTTATACTCTATTCCCTTGTATCCATTTCACCCACTGCAGCTGGCAAACCCTAAAAATGGCCATTGCTCTTACTAAAGATAGGGGATAAAGGCTTGCCTCAGCTCGGGAGTGCACTTACATTTCCCTCAGAGCTACGTAGTCTGAACTGCCTCCCCCAACCCCGGTTTCTTCCTCTTCCCATCTGTAAGCAGTAGGCAGCCACAAGGCAGAACGAGTGCCCATAGAACAGTGTTTTGCACTTCATCCAAAAAGACAGACACATGCAAGCCCCACTTATGCATGCATGTTGCTGATAGTGTTCTGGCCATTGTGTCTCTTTCTTAACCTATGCTGATGGCCGTGGAACACCATCCAAAATTTTGCTGACATCAAAGGGCCCTTCCAGACAGTCCCTATATCCCAGGATCTGATCCCAGGTTTTCTGTTTATCCTAGATTATCTGGCAGTGTGCACTCATATAATAAAGTTTAAAGCAGAAAACCTGGGATCAGACCCTGGAATTTAGGGCATGTCTGGAAGGGCCCAAAGAGACACACCCAACATCTCCTGTAACACTTCGGGAGGTCTTTGTGATCTTCTATTTTTGGCAAAGCCATTACTCTTGGACTATATGTAGCATCTGCTTTCTGCTAGTTCTTTATAGATGGCATGTGGTCAGCACAGGAAAGCAGGCTATGCAATGAAATAGGGCTAGCTTCCCAAAGGCTTGATCCTTGCTGGAGAACTCTCCCTGCAGTTCTGGTTCTGTGCCATCCTGGATGAGGTCCTTTCATGGTCTGTACCTTAATTGTGGAGCAATGAAGTTGTACATAGCATAATGTTTAAATAACAAATGGTTATTTAAACATTATCCTCATAAGCAAATTTGTGAAAGCCTTATTTGTCCACCTGACTGTTAAGCTTGCCTTGTTTGGAAGGAAAGTTTTGTGATCACTCTTTAACAGAAGCAGGCACAGAAGAATTTACTTTAGGTGTGCAATTATTCACAGCAATGCACTTCCTGTCTAATACCCTGATGTTGCACGTGTCAATGTCAGTTCATTTCTGGAGTTTTGTTCTGGTTTGTTTGATTGATTTTAAGAGACCTAATGAATTTGTATATTGTGATTGTGATGTTTTACATGTCAATCCCAATTTTTGTTTAAAAAACACACGTGATAATGCTTATTTTTAAAGAAGAAAAACATGAATATATATTATTTTGATTCCTGCGATTATTTCAAAATTGTCTGAAGTATAATTCTACAACATCATGGAGCATTTTCATTTCATTGACCCAATATCTGTACATTGTATTGATATATTTAGAGTGTTTTAGTTATTAGTGTTTTGAAGAAAGAAATTTGTTTTCTGCTTTTTTTAAAATGCTTTTTTCTCCCTGATGTTCTATCAAAAATTATTTGTAATGTAGCAGATGGTTAGGAACTGAAATCTAATTTGTATTTCCTCCTTCAAGACTGCAGCCCTGGGCACGCTTCTTGAAGCAAGCTATAGACCAGTCAGGGGAGCTTATTTCCAAGTAGACTTATATAGGATTGTGCTGGAAATAAGAAAAGTTTCATAATGTGAACCACGCACATATCCGCACTCTCTGATCTAGTAGTTTCTTGCCAGAGAATTCCTTGAATGGAGAAGTAACACCCACTTTGTGCCTGCCTCATATTAAACATAAGACTCAGAGTTGGGACAAAGGAGTGTAATTTTAATGTTTTTTTTAAAGAAACCAAGCACTTCATATGTCAAACCAAATACAATGTGAGTATATATACCATACCCCAGATAAACCTGTTCAATTATAAAGCTGCAAGTGAAGCACACGTAGAGATTAATAATAGTAAACTCTGCAAGAGAAAAAGAAATATCCCCTTTTGTTCGGAATCCCCCGGTATGTAAAGTCATACAATTAACACTAAAGCATATGAAGCCTTTAAACTGGCTATGTCTGTAATCAAATAATGGGGAGGAAAAGAAGAAGAAGAAAGTAATTAAATGAACACACCATTCAGGGTCGACTACATCCAGCAAAAAGCAGTGGTAGGTCTTTGATCATGGTTGGTTGCATAGTGATATCAAACGGTTGGTTCCCATGTAACAGCTAAATGTTTCAGATTTTGTTTTTATTAAATTTGGCAGTTTCACACTGGGATCTGCTGATTCCTGGCACGAAAGAGACAGCTCAAATATAAGAAAATGTTCCATTTTCACAGTTGCAGGGAGTTGGGATTACCTCTCCTCCATCCCAAAATATGGGCCACAGCAATGTACTCCTTTCACACTGTTCTATTTCTGAACTGTGCAGTTATCGATTACATTTTCTAATAGATTTTTTGTGTAAAATGTATGTATGCTTGTGCAATTATGAGGGGGGAAAGCAGTTTTGGAAAATGGTGTGTTTATTTCAAATCACTTATGGGGCATGTACAAAACTGTATAAAAACCATTCAGTTTGCCCAGTAAAGTTGTTTTTGTGATATTTCTGTGTTGTTGAATAAAGGAATTTAGTACTCTACAGATCTTTCTTTTTCCATGCACATGAAGAGATTTCCTTTGAGGGATCTTAAATAATAAAAATATGATTATCCTTGATAACAACTCATGCAAAATAACCAAAAAGGTTCAAATTCTTAATTAATACTTGAATAAAGTCAACGTGATTTTTGGTACAATGTATGGAGAATGTTTTGGGTTTTTATTAACATTTGACTGATGTTTCATGAGTTGTAAACTCGTTGGACCCATTATGATTACAAAACAAAACAACACATATTAAAGATATAGAATAATAGAATCATTGAGTTGGAAGAGACCTCGTGGGCCATTCAGTCCAACCCCGTGCCAAGAAGCAGGAAAATCACATTCAGAGAACCCCCGACAGATGGCCATCCAGCCTTTGTTTAAAAGCCTCCAAAGAAGGAGCCTCCACCATACTCCGGGGTAGAGAGTTCCACTGCTGAACAGCTCTCACAGTTAGGAAATTCTTCCTCATCTTCATGTGTATCTCCTTTCCTGTAGTTTGAAGCCATTGCTCCGCATCCTTTTCTCCAGAGCAGCAGAAAACAAGCTTGCTCCCTCCTCCCTATGACTTCCCCTCACATATGATATAATTCTTCAGATAATAAACTTTGTGCTCAAGTAGCAGATATAATAGGACTAAAATACATGTAATTTCCACAATATTTACTTGAACCATTTACGTGACAGAGATGTGCTTGAAAAATGTATAGAAAACTAACATTTCATTTTCTATAGCAAGAAGATCTAACGATACTGAGCTTTGAAAGAAATGATCGTTCTTCTATTTTATTTTTTAAAAAGCTGTAAAGTTATTTCAATACAAGTTGTAACACTTGACCTATATATTACTGCTTCTTCGTACAAAGTCCTACTTGCTAGATGCCTTGTAAATTCCCAAGCTTTATGAAAAACAGGTTCCTTCATCTTGTAAATATATATTATAGTTACCAACACCTAGAATGACTTCACACAGCTTTGGGTTTTTGGCCATAATCCAACACAGCACTATCTTCACTTTAGCCTATTGAGGCCAGTAGGTTTGAACATTCTCCACTTTATGTTGAATTGTGGCTGTTGATCATAGAATCATTGAGTTGGAAGAGTCCTCATGGGCCATCCAGTCCAACTCTCTGCCAAGAAGCAGGAAAATCATATTCAAAGCACCCCCGACAGATGGCCATCCAGCCTCTGTTTAAAAAACTACAAAGAAGGAGCCTCCACCACACTCTGGGGCATAGAGTTCCACTGCTAAACAGCTCTCACAGTTAGGAAATACTTCCTCATGTTCAGGTGGAATCTCCTTTCCTGTAGTTTGAAGCCACTGTTTGCCATTGAATATGGAATCCAATAACAGCAAATGCATTAGTTGATGTTTTAACTGAAAAAAATTGAAAATATTAGGAAACTACAAGGATTAAATCTCTGTCTGGAATGTTAATTGTTGAAGGTCTGAAAAAATATGTGTTTATTTGTCTCCTCCCATTTAAATTCTAGTAGCTTTTGAACTGGGCATTTTAGCCAAGATTCTTGATAAGGTGTTTATTTAATTACATGGGTCGAGTATATTTTATCCAAAATTCTTGGAAGTAGAAATACAGTATTTTGGATTTTGAAAATTTTGTGCAGCATGATTGCAAAATGACCCTACAACATCACCCAACTCAGTACACTACATACCATTCATACACAACATAATCAGGTAGCCAGGAAGAAGACAACAAAGCCTTCTCAAATATGCAAGTGTGCTGGAAGGTGCAAGGCATACCCTTTTTGACTGTGTGAGTGTTGACTCTCTCAATTAAGAAGGGCCCCGCTGGATGAGATCAAGAGCCTGAGTCGTACTCCCCAAGTTTGAAGTTCTTTTTCAACTCATACCAAAACTATCAAAGTCACATTTCTTCAGTGCAAATGGGAACAACTAGAAAACAATGAGGACCATCTATCAAAGTTCCAGGAACACAATTATCAAAATATTTCCCACTGACAAAACTGATTTTGGAAGTGGGAAGGGCAACTGCATAAGGAAGAATAGAATCTAGGTCAACTGGGGCTCTGGCAGCTGGAGTTCAAAATACGTTCTCTGAGAGAAACTGTTTTAGGAAGTTCATGGGACAAGCTATCCTGATCCCAGCATGTGAACGATGGAGGGGAGATGTCTGTTCAATTGAGTTCCTAACAACTACAGGGGCCTGGAGGAGGGGGTGGAGGTGGGCAGCAGGGCACCATGACTGGAATTCAGAGGTTATTGGTCATCCTAGCTATAACACACCAACCAAATTTACAGTTGAATGCTGTGTAAAGTGGATCTACAGTAGTTCAGGCTATCAATAGTAAAGGTCTAGATCTCCTACTTTACAGTGCAACTTTTGCAATGCCAAGTCACAGAAGCAGAGTTATAATGGATACAATGCAATTTCTTAGCATTGTCTTCCATCACACCATGACGCCAACCTAGAAAAAAGGAACAATCATGTGAGGTCCAAACAACTTAGGTTTCATATCCAAAATGTTCCCACTGTTTAACTCATTGCTGCAGCTTGCCACATTTCATACACAATGGAGACCATGCAATAATTAAGCATCTCAAAAATGTCCCAATGTAACAGTTTCATGTTTGATCTGTGGTCTTGTGTGATCCAGAATTCAAATTTGCTCATCTCATCCTTTCTGTCAACATAGTTCTCTCAGTTTTACTTACTGGGTTGCCAAGGCTTGCTGGTCACTCCAAACACAATCTTTCCCTCCAAATCCTGGCTGTTGTCTTGCTGTTGTTGTGTGTTTTCTAGTTATTTGTGATTTATGATGACCTTAAGGCAATCTATCATGGAATTTTCTGCACTTGAGAAAGTGGGACTTGCTCCAAGGTTACCCAGTGGGTTTCCATGACAGGGTGGGGAATTGAATTCTGGTCTCCAGTGCTGTAATCCAACACTCAAACCATGCTGGCTCTATACTGCTTTCTTGATATGACAGTAAAAAAAAGAGTGACCATTGCTGTGGAGCTCTCCCAGTTCTCCTTGTTCAGGCTGTAAGCATCCAAGTGCTGGCTGTGATACAAAAATCCAGCCCTGTCGGTGTAGTGTGGAGGAGAGCCTTCTGCCACCCCTCCAATGTGTACTTCTAATCAAGAGAATAATTGAGGTGAGTAATAAGATAGGGGATCTCCACCAAAGGTAAGAACGGGGTACTTCTTAAGTCCCATGGATGCTTGGTATCTACTGGGATTTGGCTCCAGGATCCTCCATGGATACCAAGATTCCCAATGACATTATAAAATGGTGTCCCTTCTATGAAATGGCAAATTCAAGGTTTCCATTTGGGATTTTTTTTAAAAATTCAAGCCATGGTTGATGGAATCTATGGGTACAGAGAATATATGGAGATGGAAAGCCAATGTATCCTGCAAAGGCACCGGAACCCAAAAGGGCTGAAGGTACATCTTTCTTTCTATTGTTTGTGGCAATAGTTTATTGTTTGTTTTCTGTTGTTTTAAGCTCATGTGGAACTGCATGGCAATTATTTTTCTCTAATCATATTGGAGGGCAAACTAAATCCCTGCAGAGTTGTGGCAGCCTTCAGGGCAAGTAGAGTGGTGAATCTTGAACATTACGATTAAAACCTGAAATGGATTCACCACTACCCCTGATATGGAAGCTTACAAATCATCACACAAGAAAGATATGAGGAATGTAAACAGAAGAAAAGGGGGATGTGAAATCAATCTAGTTAAGGAAGATAGATACCAGGCAAGAAAAGGTAACCTTAACTTTCTGTGCTGTACATTGGTGTGCATACAGTCTATTTCCAACAGGTTAAAGGCTGAAATTTTCTCACTATTTAGGGTTTTTAAATGGCACTGCTGTGAAGCATTATATGCAGCTTTTATATCTACTCACTTCTGAGCATCATTTGCCTTTCATTAGACACATGGAGCTTCTGTTCAAGAACCACAATTCCAAAGCTCTCTAGCTGGGCGCACACATCCAGTTCTACCGATTTTCGTCTCCTGATCATAATTTAAAGGGTTTTTCCAGCTCTTGCCTGCAGAGTCCTCTGTAATCTTCATGTTAGGCATTTTCAATAACTGTGTGAGGTAGATCCCCATTATTCCCAGTTGACAGAAAGGGGAATTGGGATTGCCCAGACGGTGAATTGCCCAGGGCCACCCAATTAGTTGTTGGCTTTGGCGTGATTTGAATTAATGCTCCCCAACTCCAACACACTATTCATCAGGCTAGGCTCGCTCCCGGTTTAATCTCTTTTTTTTTTCTCTCAGAAAGAAAATATTATTCTTCTGAGCCACACATAAAGGGGGTGGGTGAGGGAGAGAACGAGACCTCCATGGATACAGAGGCTCAGCATGGATGCATAGATAGTCTTATTACAAGAACGGAGCTGCGGTGTTGTTTTAACCACTCACGAGTTCATCTTTTGAAGCATTTCTCTAAGGAACCACTCTGCAATTATTAATGGCACGATCCTGCAAAGTTCCACATGCCTGCCCAGAGATAGTGATCATCATTAAATTCTCACTTGCAAACTAATCAGGGTCTAATTATATGCATAACTCTTCCTTAAAAGACAATTATGAGTATAATTATTTGAATAAGGAGGAAGGAAGTACTGCAGTGAACCCAACGAAGATCCAGACCTTTGGAGGTCACAATGCTTTCAAACGCTGCTATCTAAAAGTTGCATGAGAAGCAGTGGCCAAGAAGGGATGCAGTGGTTTCTTCAAGAGTGAAATGGAATCTGAGAATGACAGAGAAAGCCTTCAAACAGACAGCTACTAACATTACCAATCAAATGCTGCAACTTTGTCAGAGCCCTTTTTGATTAAGGTTGCTTCTATAAGGATAGCTCCCAATTGCTTCTGGTCAAAAGATACTGGGCAGCAATTCCATTATTTACAACATCTTTTTGTGGCAAGAGTAAAATGGGGGGAAGCAGAAATCAGAATATGCAAGTGGATAACAACTGTCTGTATCTCTCACT